AATGCTTCTCATTGTGATGAAATTCATGCAGTTTATTTGCTTCACAATGTAGGTATAACTGGAAATGTGTTAATGGATATGGACGGAGATAGAGAACCTGATTACTGGATTTCTGATTTGAAAGAAAATGGACGTTTTGAGAAGATCGCAGAAGTTGTCAATATTGACAATGCAACTCGGGTAAGTGTATTTTAACATATATATGATGAATTTAACAGAATTTTATTGTTTGGTTACCTCATCTTTTTTGTTTATTTATAGATTGATTCATTTGTTTCATTTGATACTCACTGCTTATCTGATCACTAGTATTTTAGTGGTTTCCTCTGATAATCATTACTTTTTTGTTCATTTAATAAGTTTGCCAATGTATTCTCTGATAATCATTTCTTTATTAATTATTTAATACTATTTTCATTAATATTTTCGTGGTCTCCTGTTATATATCATGTTATGTATCATTTAATAATATTTCTATTGAAGTTCGATCGTCTTATACTCGTTGCTTTATTAATTATTTCATAATATTTATCTACTAACATTTTGCTGTACACGAACAACCGTGGTATATATAGTGTTGATTGTACTATATTTGTTGTGTTCATTTTCAGATGTTTCGTCAGATTGGCGAGCCGCAATGGGGCGACGGGCGAGTTGGGCATGAGTTTGCACCACCAGACATCCCAGTATGTGGTTTTGAAGGAGAGTTTTGTCAGGAAAGTAGCAGTAAGTCATTTTATTATTGTATGATATTTTTGCATCAAGGATTACATTGGCTAAATGTACACTACGTAATTCAGATCATTTGATGATCGTCTAAGCATGATAACATTCAAATAAAGCAACATTAAATTGCCTATGTAAACAACATTTATATATTTAAAAAAAGGAAATGTCTACTTCATTGAACACAATGTGAGCAGATGGTTGCGAGTCTGGTTTGTTGGTTGGTTGGTTGGTTGGGCGTTGGTGGGTCGATATTTTTTGTTTGGGTCGTGAGTGAATAAATTGCCGTGCGTGCGTGTGTGTGTGTGTGTGTGGGGGGGGGGGTGAACAGTGTGTCGGTGAATTGCTTGGTTGGGGGGGGGGTAAATTGACCCAGACTTTAAATTGCCACGTATCTTGTATTTGCAATGATCCTTTTTTTACTTCAGTGACTAACTTTCTTATTTCTTTTCAAATAGATGTATATATTTACGTTATTGCATTTTCTGCTGTGGTTTTGCTGGTTGTACTAATGGTAGTACTTGGCTTTTATTTATACAGGTATGCTTTGATTGAGTGTTAAATATTAGTAGTTCTGTAGAGAGATATGTGGACAAATAAGAATGATGGAGTTTCTGTTTACTGTGTTTTCCTGCAATAATATCAGTGAAAATGTTTGGTAGTACAAGCCATACTAATACAGTAGTGACCGTCCATGATAGGCTACTTTTTCACATTAGTATATACCAAACCGATTTAAACTTGAAGAATACGATACCGTAAGCAGCAAATAAACAATTTATTAGTCAACATGAACACAACCAAATGTTTCCGACTTTTGTTATTAGACGGAGTCAGTATGAAGCTGAATTGATGAGTATGAGATGGAAGATTCAATTTGAAGATATTCAAATGATTTCTAATACGTCACACCCGAAACTGATCACCGGACATGGAAGCCAGGTGAGATACACTCACTTGCATAGTAGAAGCGATAATAGACAACGAGTAAGAAAAAATGTATTTTAACCGAAATGTCTTAATGTTGCTTTTATAGACAAGTGCTAAATCTGGAAGTCTTGGATCAGGTTCTTTATTATCCAAACTATCCTCGAAATGTTCGAGTGGGCTACAAAGTGCGACTACTGCTAAAAGTACACAGTACTTCTGCAAAGTCGGAGTTTATCGGGGATTGACTGTGGCTATGAAAAAAATCAACAAGGAGCACATGCAAATCACCCGTAAGGTGCTGATTGAATTCAGTGAGGTAAGTCAAAGTACTAGTGTTTATTGTTCTTTGTGCATATCATTGCAATTTTCATGATAAAGAAAACACTAGACATATTCTATACTCATTATTATTGCCCGTGTCGATAATTCAGTTTATTTGAATTACTCCAATGTTTTCTTCTGTTTCTGGGATTGAAATTGCATGTACAACTACAGGAATATTCCAAACATAAAACACATAATGTCCATCTTGTGAAATGGCTAAATGAATAACTCAAATGTGCAGTTTGAATTCAAAGTATAGGATGTGACATGATATATTCCAAAGATGTGTTTTCACAGCGTGTCACGTACATTCCAACTTATAGTGTGTATTTCGATAAGCCTAAGCGACAAAATTATTATCTATGCTCTGAGAATCAAAAACCTACCATTGAACTATGGTACACTGAAGAATCCATTGCTATTGGACTAGACTAAGCAACTAATCTGTTTTGACTATAATATAATAATTCCACTAGTCTTCTATTTTGACAGAAATGAGTCTGATTACTGTGTGTATTTTCTTTCACGTAGATTAGGGAACTTAGTCATGACAACCTGAACATATTCATTGGAGCATCGGTGGATGTGGGAAACATTTACGTACTATGGCAGTATTGTCCTAAAGGAAGTCTTCAGGTAGTTCATGTTACACTAATGAAAACAATGTTTATATTATCAGATACGTGAACTTACTCATGAAAACCTCAATATATTTTTGGGAGCTTGTATAATTAGTCCCAAACTATGTCTTGTGTGGCAATATTGTCATAAAGGAAGTCTGCAGGTATAGTTAAAAGCCAGTTTTGAATTTAAGGTATTTGTGTTGTATCGTTCTCGTTCTGCTAATAATGGTTATATTATTTAATTCTTTATAATTGCTGTAACGAAAATTGCACCCTGGAATCACTGATGAGTTGTATTACATCAGTGTATAACTAATATGACAGTGAGCATGCATATTTTAATATGTACATTCATAATAATATGTATTGTAATTGTGCACGTAACACTACGTTGCATCGTTTGTGTGTACTTTTACGGTACCTTTGTACGGAAAGTGCATGCGAACTGAATAGAGCTGTTTGAAAGAAATTACTGCTGCATTATTTACTATAAAGTTTATTTATTTGTCTTTTATTTTTCCTGTAGGACTTATTGGAGAATGATGATGTGAAGTTGGATACAGCATTTAAGATGTCTTTTATTTCTGATATCGATTTGGTAATGTACCGATATGTTAATATAGTACACACACTTTACCATTAGTAGTTTTATTGGTTATTGTTATTTAACTAAAATATGCAATGTGTTGACAATGAAAATATAGTTCGCATAAGGCAGAAAAAAACAATAAAACATAATTGGCTGATGACCGAAATCAGATGCAGCTATTGAGTTCTAATTTAAATGCTTCCCACCTGGGGGAATATGCTCAATTTAACGAAGCCGAATATGTTTCTTTTTATATATGCGTTGTTTATTTCTCCCCATGTTTTCTACAGTAGCTTTCTATAATATTCCGGTGTTAGAGAAATACTTTCGAGTTACATTGTTCAAAGTGTATATTGCATTGTTTTGTGTGCTTCAGACCATGAAAAAGCAACAAGCAAATACAATTCTCCGTGTCTATCAGTAATTTTATTGAATTCATTTGAATTGGGATGGCAATACATTTCATTCAAGAATAATTAAATTAACATTGTTTTACACAGGGAATGGAGTACTTACACAAAAGCCAACATGGGTACTGTTCCCATGGCAACCTGAAATCGTCAAACTGCTTGGTAGACAATCGATGGGTTGTGAAAATTAGCGACTATGGTCTGCCGAGCTTCATGCAGGGACAGTCTCAATCTGATGAAACGGAAGAGCAAGATAAATTTTTACGTATGTTTGAACGAAGTGGGGTTATAGTAAATAATTTAATTTAATGAATCCATATATTTAGTTATCCAATTGCGTGTTTCACGTCTCTAAAGAAGATAATTGAATATTGTTTACGTTCTATATTCAGAAAAAGATTTGTTATAATTGTTCCAGGTAAATTATGGACCGCTCCTGAAATTTTGCGTATGAACTTTCCACCTCCATGTGGCACTCAAAAAGGGGATATTTACAGCTTTGCTATTGTACTGTTTGAAATTATTGAACGTTCTGCGCCATACACGTTTGACCACATAACACCTAGAGGTAAGACACCATCGACAATACAAACGTTTTGTTTGATTAATAATCGTGCCTATGCATATAAAAGTGTGTACAAAGTGTACTTCTTATTTCTTCAGATGTTTGAAAATAAGTTATAATCTGATTAGCCTGGCACAAGGAAGTAGCAACGCTCTACTTTTCCGGAATTTGTCAACCAATTAGAAAACGTCTTACTAGAAAAAAACCCCCAGAATACTCTGTATATGGTTTGTAACACGGACCCTGACTGGCTGATCGAACGGTATTTGAAAACTCAGAATACAACAGCGCATTGATTTGTATTGTTTCATAACTACAGATGTTGTGAATAGAATTCGCAGTGGCGAGAGTACTCCATATCGTCCAGTAATGTCAGCTGAGAACGATTCTATGGGCGAACGCATTCGCCAGTTAATGATACAATGTTGGAGCGAAAATCAAGAAGAGAGACCATCTTTCAGCAAAATCAAATCTGTTATTCGTTCTATAAATGGTGGAAAGTAAGTGTTTCATATTCGTTGTCGGTAATATATATTATGTATTTACAAATGTTCGATAACTCAGGTGATATATGTCATTGTCATATTTCAGGAACGTCAGTATTATGGACAATATTTTAAGCATGATGGAAAAATATTCCAACAACCTGGAAGCAATTGTCGAAGAAAGAACCGAGCAACTTGTTGAAGAAAAACGAAAAACGGATCGGCTGCTGTATCGAATGCTACCTCCGTGAGTTTTAACTCTCGTTTGTTACGTACAAATAATTGGTTTCTACCTTAATTGGTTCTACTGTTATGTTGTAACCATATCAACGTTTGCACATCGTGGCGTGTAAGAAATAGCTCATGTTCGGTTTGTGTCGTGAATCATCTAGTCACTAACAACAAAGCCAAAATTCTAAAAATAAAGAAAGTCTCAGTTGTTCCATAAATTACATTATGTAGTAATAGTTTTGTTTGCAAATAATCATGCCTTGTTAGTTAGTATGTGATATGTGTGGATACATTGCTTATTTCAGGACCGTCGCAGATGCCCTAAAGCTTGGAAACATCGTTCCACCACAAAGTTACGAATGCGCCACTATTTATTTTTCTGATGTTGTAGGTTTTACTAAACTTTCCTCTGAGAGCACACCAAAACAGGTAACATCATTCAAATAATTATATTGTGCGGGCAACATTGTGATACATTGCAACGAATGAGTATATTTAACACAAGATTAATTGTTAAAAAATTTAAGTATTAGATCTTAGAAAACCCGTATATTTATCTATCTATATATTCTTGGATCACAATATTAGTTTATTTTTGTTTAAATTTGGTTTTATTACGTTTTTCGAATATTCAGATTTTTTTTTACATATTTTCAGGTTGTTGACCTTTTGAATGATCTTTACACATGTTTTGATGGATTGATTTCAAACCATGACGTATATAAGGTATGTGTGTGTTTGATTTTTTGATTAGAGTTCAAAAAAGAACAGATGAAATTTATCTATTTAGTGAATTAAATTTGTGTAAATTTTAGTGTTCGAACGTTAAGTACACAACATTTACATTTTCTTAAATTTATGTACCGTCACGTCTGTTTTTATTATTTTCTGAATGTATCACTGCCGGTCCATCAACAATACTGAGATCGTTGTACATGTTTTCGTGGAATCGAGATGTTGTTTGGTTTCAACACTTGTCATGGTCACATTGATATTTAGCCAACATACCAATACCAATACCATTATTACCCGCGAACCTCATTATTTTTCTGATTATAAGTTTAGTATTTTAAGCCATGTTGTTTCTTACTTATTATTTATTTATTTACTTTTGCTGTAAAGTACTTATTTATTTTGTTATACACTCTTGATCAGTCTGTAAAAATATAATCATTATTATTGATATTATCTCTTACACTGAAATGTATACACATAGGTTGAAACCATTGGTGATGCATATATGATAGTGTCCGGTTTGCCACAGAGAAATGGTAAACGTCATAGTGCTGAGATTGCCAACTGTGCATTGGACCTGCTTAGTTCCATCACACGTTTTAAAATACGTCATCGTCCTGACGAAAAACTGCAACTGCGAATTGGTATACATACAGGTCCTGTAGTGGCTGGAGTTGTTGGTTTGGTTATGCCTCGATATTGTCTGTTCGGGGATACTGTCAATTTAGCGTCTATATTGGAATCCAATGGAAAACGTGAGTTTCTTGATATTTGCAATTTCCCAGTTTTCCTTTCTACTATCATCCCTTATTTTCATATTCAAGCCAACACATTTGGAGTTATATAAGATGACGTTTATTTAAATCAGATGGAGAACATTTAAAGAATTAACCGCATATTTTGCGTGAACCACCTTTTCGCCTAAGACTACATATGTGCAATTAGCGTTAATACCGTGGGTGAAACTGCATAATTTAATAATCACTCTAAACCATTATGTTTTATCAGCATTACACGTTCACATCAGCAAGCAAACCTACCTTGCTCTGGTCGCATTGGATTGTGGTTATCGCATGTATCTTCGTGGAGAGATGCATATAAAGGTACGTTAAGTGGGTGTGTATGAAAAATGAATAATATTTACGAGGCTTATCGTGCATATGTGCATTTAATCCATGATCCTTTCAAAGAATATACTTATACCAACTAATTAAAAAAGTTAATATAGGCGTTCATTTTTTTTTTATTTATGAGGAGTAATGAAATAATACTTTCATGATATTTCGTAATATGTCTGATATAACATCACGTTTCTAGCAAGTAGAAATAACGACATATTCAGTCCACTGTTTCTTCACAATGTCAATCTGTAGTGTGTGCCATTTTTTTCGGTGATAGTTTGATCCACAATGCATTTATTTATTGTGATCTTGTAAACTTGATCATCTGCCGTTGAATGTTTAAGGATGCCGCTGTAAATTCTACAGCTTAATATAATCTTATCCAAGATTAGTCTTACTTATATAAGTGCATAGTTGTTCACTTGTACGAAGTGATATTCAGAATAATTGCTTTGTATCGTCTTATAGTTTCTGTTCAATATACATGTGTGTTATGTACCAATGCTTTGTATAAATGCACATTAATTACTTTTAACATTGTTCATACACTACACTGCAGGGTAGAGGTTTATTGCCGACATATTTTCTTACCGGTAAAGATGGGTACAAAGGAACGCTTCCCCAGCGGTACGTAGAGAAATTAATAACCTGGACATGGTTATTCCTTTAAAATTAATGATAATCCATATGTAGAATGACTCACATATATTGTTTGACTAAGATTTTTATTTTCATTGTAGTGAGGACATAAAGAAAAGCGATGATATGAGGTAGGAATTGTTAACATACACAACAATCACAACAAATTGAGTTTGAAGAATCACCATATTTGTATAGAAACCAATCCCACAAATAATTAAATGGGACAAACGAATCTGGGAACTGAGATGAATAATTACTTCACATCCACTGTGGACCACTATATTATACATTTTTGGTATTCTCTACATTTTAATTATTCTCAGTGGACGTGTTCGTATCAATGTTACTATTTTTTCACAGTTTAGCTCAGCGTTTTATTTTAAATTGAATTTTTAATGGGGATTCACATTAATAACGTTTCAGATACATTTTTAATCTATTATGTACAATAATAATGTTTTTGTTGTTCTTATTTTAACAGGCAGAATGATAACTTTGCAGAATATGGTGGAGATTATGAAGCGTCATCAATGCATAAATATAATTAACTCAATAATTAAAAACTAAAGAGAAAAAGCAAGTCATATTGTACTAAAATGTTCTCATATAGGAAATAGTGTTGAATGTAGTATGTTATCAAGATCCATTATATCATTTATAAACACATGATTTCTCTTGTTTTTTCATGATAAATTCGGTTTGTAATTTCAATATCGCGTATGCCCACAAACATTATTGAGTTTCAGCCACAAATGTTAAAGTTGCATTATTGGCAACATTGTTTTTTATAGCTTTTAGTCAATTGTGTAATTTAAACAATGCAACCAGCAAGAAAGTAGCTTCAAAAGTTATGTAGCATTATCGCAGATTTATTTATGATTGGGTCTCAGCATCTTAAGGTTCTATTCCACGGATTTGTCTGTTTGTCAACCAAAAATAGTCAATACACAAAATCAATATTTATGAAGCATTTCCTATCAAGTATTTATAAAATGCGCGTAACTAAGATTCATTGCTATTTGTCCGTTTAAAAGCTATTTTAGGCACGCACCGACGCAAAATTTCCTGGCCAGATTTATTATTTATTCGTTACACAGGAAAATATGTCTGGATTCGATCATTAGAACGCCACAAATTAAAAAAACTTTCAACTTAATTTTACAAATAATACGTTTATAGATACTTAAAAACGTCAACATCGGTATCATAATTTATAATCCGTATTGTTTTGTACGTCGTCCTCGATGTGTACATGTTAATCACTTGTTTTCAAAAGATTTGTTATTAATGGTCTTCGTAATTTGACAAATACATTTTGTATATTTGGGAAATTGAAGTAATTAGCTTCTATGTTCCTTCCAACTTCTGAAAATAAATGTCGGTCAAAAGTCATAACATACAAGTGAAGTCTCAGTTGATATCCAATGTGAGTGCATCAGACACACTCATAAATAGATGGAACCATATCATATTATTATAACATTATAATGAAAACTATTTTTATTGATGTGTGTTGACATGTCAGTTCAATATAGTGAATGTGCTTCTAATGTTTAATTTAAAGATAAACACACTATATTTATATATTAAAAGTTTTCTTGATATTTACATGCTTGGTTTGTTGCTATGTATTATATTAATATTAGTTTTTGAAATATTGGTGATACATGATAATGTTGCTTTCAAGTGTTATTGACGTTATAGAAAATATTCCTTCATACATGATTTTGCAATTATTACCATTCAGGTTATTATTAGTTTCTTATTATTTCTTTTGTCCAATTTGACTGTGACATATATATTGCACATTGCATGTGAACATCAAGGAAGTAAGGCATCGTTCGCACGATCTACCATATCAAATGACATATATGCAAAACAACCGAAGGGTTCCGGTGAAGTTTTTACACACTCTCGGTAAATATGTGTTATTACACCTACGTGAGTTTATTTTGTAAAAGGCGGATTAGTCATTTAAATTGTAACATTGCAAATGCAGAATCGAATAAAGTATGTATATTTACTAATAATTAGTTGAGTGTTTTTCAAGGGATCATGGTGCAATGGAAAAAAACAGAGGTAATGAGAACTAACAATAGCACAAATGTTGAAAGGAGTTATTACCTAATCCAATTTACAATTAAAATAGAGTAAGTATAACCCCAACACGTAGGCGCCAGTTATGTAGCCTCAACGTCCACGTATGTTAGGAGTTCAAAGGGTCCTTGTGTTCAAAAGGGTCCCATGTCCCAATGAACAGAAGCTTAGGTGGTACTGCATAGGTACTGTCTGATAGCATATTTAATTCATGTTACTGCCTGCTCACCACAAATGCAGGCGTTTTACACATAAACTTCACTTTCTGAGGTTGTCTAAAAGGAAGATAAATGAAATTTGAAGACATTTGAAAAGAAACATGAATACTTACACAAAATCTGTTCATGTTAAATATGTAAATTAGACAATTTCCATATTCATTCTTTAGTAAATTGGGATTATCTCATAAAAACTCAACGGATTTGAACCAAATTTGATACGGGTGCTCATTGATGTTATTTGCAGG